TAGGAAGATTTTGCCCATCCTTGGCTTGGTATAGGAAGGATCCAAAATGTATTTGTTCCCTAAGAGATATTCATAACAAGAACGTGTCAGAAAATGTGATAGGGTTCTGAATGAACCTATACAGGATCCATCAGCTGAGAATTCTTTGTTCTTGTATTATTCGTTGTAGAATTCTTCCGTGATTAAGATGTAAATCAGAAGAGGATCATGGTGAAACCTTGAGAAAACCTAATCATAATTCTCTCTGTTAATCCTGTCAAAGTTTTGAGTAAGATCGACTGTGAATCCTAGTAGAATGCTTCATTTTTAAATAATAAAATCTCAGCAGAAACTTCAAAGGATACTGAAAATGATCCTCTTTCACAATGAGATATCTTGTAAATCAGTATTACTAAAATTGGAAACAGGATCCTAAATGAAATATGACAGCAATCTTCAAATTCCCAATGCTGAAAGATCATTTCAGATTTACTAAAACGAATTGTAGAATTGGGGCTAGAGTAGCAGATTGTCTCAAGTTCTAATGCTTTCAGACAAATGAAAAAGTGAATACTGGTGGATTCCTGAGTCTTTGTGTATTGTAGAATAGGCTTATCGAAGTATGCCAAAAGCTGCGACGACTTACGGTAACCGACTGCACTTCAACAGAATCCATTAAAAGCTATCATATATGTGCAAAATGCAGCAAAATCCACTAGCCGTTACCATAATAATTTGAAATCATTGGAAGACCTGTAGATCCTGATGGATCTTAAAAACGCACAGAATCTATGGTGATATGTCAAAAGTAACCGAGACACATAAGTATCTAGGTGTCTCGGATCTGTCTTTTCATCTTAGACGTAAATTGTGAAGCCAATCGTCCCTTTTTTAACTTAGTTTCTTTGGACCGCAATGGATCCTAACTTCCATTAGCACCAGCTCCTTCCAACTTCTTCTTGGCACACTTCAAATAATATATTCTATCAGTCATCAAGTTCCATTAGATTTCACTAGGATCAACAGGGATTTTTTTGTGCTTTCAGAGCGAGTTAGAGTCATTCGACTTACGTATGTTTTTAAATATGAGTTCTGTACATTCAATAGGCAAACATCTGAACTTTGACAATATGCATAGCGCAACTCTGAATCGTTTTGGAAATGAAATTACATGATATCCTGTTAAACCAAGTTCAAATGATTGGAGCTTGCGATAACTGCTCTTGGCTCATAATGGAAAAAGCTAAGCTCATATTCAAAATGGCCATTGTAAAATAGAATGGAACTAACAACTGGCTAGCACATATTAAATTCTGACTAGAGTTGTATCTCGTAACGTCTTCTATTGAACATCAGAAGCCACAGATCGCCGACTGTATAGGAAACTTTCTCAAACCTCACGAGTCTTCTATTGCTAGGTATGCCCGAGATTTATTCATTGGACTTTTGAAGCCTCGAGCGTGATAGCATGAAATGATCGAATATTAAGCATAGAAAAGGAAAACGCATTCTTCAAAAACTCTAACGATCGCCCCATACAGTGTGCCCCAGTTGATGTAGAGATAGTCCTATTCAATCATTAAATAAAAACTGGAAAGACTTGCAACACTTCATTTAAAAGACTAGTTTCGAAAGATAGTTGCAGAACAAACAAGAAAAATGTTTGGAGAAGTCAGTACCTTGATTAGCGAAATCAGTCGATTATATCTAATTTAGACTGAATTTTAGGGATACAAAAATGCCGAGCTTCGCCGACTTTCAGGAAGTAATAATCAAATTATAGAACTTACGCTTTAAAAAATATCTCATATAAGGATTTTCCACGAAAATACATGTGTATATAGATATATTAATTTGCCAATTAGATACATGAATTTAAACATAGTAGTTTTTATCTCCATGGTTCTTGATATTTATTTTCCAAGGAATATAGGGGCCGATTAATGACTACTGTTTTTAAAAATTTTCTTTAATTCAATTTTTCACTCACCAGTCGTTATTGTAGATGCAGCCAAAGAAGTCCTCATACGGTTGCTTGATGCAGTCAAAGAAGCTCTTGGACCCTCACTTGGCGTAGCTGAGGAATGTTTCAGACGTTCGATCTCTTGTTCGAGAAGTCGAATTTGGTCCTTCAGACTCTGTATCTCTTGATGATACTTTTGGGCATCTTGTTTTAGACGGTGATTTTCCTTTGTGACACGTTGGATTTCTTCTTTGTGCTTTGGAATTTCATTGCTTAGACGAACAATCTCTTGATTTTTCCGCTGGAATTCTTGTTTTACACAGCGATTATCTTGTTTGAGACGTTGAATATCGTCTTCGTAGGCAGCACAGTTTATATTCAGAGCTTGGTTTTCAGTCTCGAGCTTATCAATATGATCCTGTTGTTGATTGCATCGTACTTTGAGGCGCTCATTTTCGTTATTGACTTGTTCCAGTTTTGATTGTAATTGTTCATAAGTAGGCTTTTCAGCGCCAGAAGCTTAAAAATCAGAAGAGATTGTTGAAAAATTGCAAAATGATAAGTATTTTGTCAGCTTAAGTCTAGCAAAGATCAGGTATACTTTTTTCTCGTGAATTCTATGCGTCATAAAGATTATTGAACATTCGATAAAAAATCGGAGCTGAAAAATAGATCCTGCTTTCATTCTTTTCTTGTATAGCATGAAAAGAAATTTTCGAAATCATAATTTTGATGACTTAACCTATCTGTGACGGATAACGACCCGTCAGTTATAAATCTCTATCTTTTTCTTTTCTTCTCCGTTCTCTTCTCTTGTATCTGTCTATAAATAGTACTACTCGTGTCTTGCTCTTGAGTTCTTTAGTTGGTCAGTCACTTGTGGTTCACTCTCTCCCTCTGCTGTCCTTTTTGTACTATTCTCCCCGTAGGAATACATTAAATAAGTGGACTAATTCCCAAAATCTGCTACACTATCTAATTTATACCTCAGGTTGTTCTTTCTCATGCGCTATATCTTCGTTCAATGGAACATGTGATTTGTTGAAAGAATAACCTACGACGTATCTACAGAAAGACATATGCAAGAAAGAACGCAAATATCGTTAAGTATAAACATGCGTGAACTATTTCTTCAAATACTATTATAGTATTTACTATTCTTTACATTGCGAACACCAGGAATGAGCCGAGATCGACCTCGAGAAGGGGAACCAATCTGTGAACGATCCTGATTTTCAGTGATCTTGTACAGTGCTATAGATCTCAAGTTATTCATTCATTATCAGCTAAAACACTCAATTTGCATACTAACCAGGGAACTACTCGAAGTGATTCAGAGCTTTTGAGCTGATACTTTGTCCATAAGTCTTTCTTCTCGAATTACGACTATTTTACTAGATATACCATCTATGATAAGAAATTTACCGAAAGAATCGAATTGCAGAATTTTGATCCAAAATTTTGCCCACATGCAGATTTTATGATCCTTATAGTAATCTAAAAATCTCGGGCTAAATGAATGCTTCTTCCTCAAAATATTGAGTTTTCAAGAAAATTCTTCCATGCTACAGGTGTGTCAAAAAGAGGGACGTTTCATGAAACTTTAATATTTTGATGAAGAAGCATTCATTTTGCCTGAGACTTGTAGGTTACTATAAGAGCCAAAAGATCTGCATGTGGGCAGAATTTCAGATCGGAGTTCTATAATTCAATTCATTCGGTAAATCCCTTGTCATAGGTGGTATATCCAGTAAAATAGCCATAATTCGAGAAGAAAGACCTATGGGCCATTATTCTTGTAGGGTGTTTCTCTAGTCTCATCCAGTCCTACCTATGGGAAAAATATCAGCTCAAAATCTCTAAATCACTTCGAACGGTTTCCTTTTGAGAGGACAACTCGTTCAGAACAATAGTAGAAAGAATCGAAATGAAAATATGAGTAGTCGTGACTCATGATTAGATGAGATAAATGGCCTAATCACTGATGCCATTTTCATTTCGATGAATTATTTTATACAAAAGCAAAGTTAGTCAGTATTTATACTTTTAAGGAAAAAAATGCATTCCATTGTTTATTAGACAGGAAAATGTATCAATACGAATGCATATTCATCCACACGAAGGTTGTTCAGCAAGGCTTTAGTACTACAAGAAGTATTGGCGTATAAGCACGTTAGGGATATTAGAAATATTCATGTATGTATCTACTTTCAATATCTACACATTATGATAGACAATCGCCTTATTGTGTTCTGTGCCTATCTTATTTATTGTCATGTAAAGATTTCTGTCGTGAAAATCATAAATATGAATTTAGTATTTACTCTACTCTTTCTATCTTTTATTACTGCTTCTCAGAATACTTTCCAATCATAATTCACAACCATATAGAACAACTGATTTCACTCGGTATTGTCGATAATCAATACATTCTATCGGGCTAACCTAAACTAATAAGCAATTTGCAAACAAAACAATATTCGTAAAATGGTAACGACATAGGTGGTCGAAATAAAGCTATTGAATCAATTGATTTTGAATTCAATTGCCGATGGGTACGGGTGTCTCTCTTTCAAGAATTTACGTTTAGCATTCGCATATGATTAGAGAGATACTTTGAAAGAAGTCACTTTCGGTGGATGTAGGGGACGATACTATGATTTTTAAAGTGGTGGATTCTGCTCTCGCCTCTCTGATTCAAATAGCTATTGAGTTGACATAGCTATTTCAGTTGTTGAATGTGATTAATACGCAACCAATAGATGAACTATCACACAAAAGACACGAGATTTCAATTGTTTATTCGAAATGATGAACATCATGCATGTAAATAATAAAAAATGAAAATAGCGACTTCGTCTTGTAAAAAATCATAACTCTTTTTTTCTATAGTCATCCAACTGATAGGACTGTCTTGGGTTGATATCAAGCAATACTTTTTCTTGATAGCACAGTATCCTCGTCTGACCACATGAAAAAAGAAAAAGTAATAGAATGCTAACTCTTAAAAAGAACGCTGATTCTAGTAGAATATGGTGTCTCTTAGAACTTTCGAAAACTAATCTGAAGTGATAATTGGAGCTGCGCTCGCAATTTGGTTCAAATGAATGTCTATTTGTTGTTCGGATGGAACAGACTCAACTAATGGAGCATTTCGATCAAGCAAAGAGCTATAACTCAATGAACGATCATTTGAATGCCTTATAATAATAATAATTTCGATTGATAAATCTGCAAGTCTGATATTTGTTTTATCTTTGAATCTGTGCTCATCTGTGACAATGTTGATCATTTTTAATGCTATACATTTTCAAAACGGATTGTTTTCTCAATTTTCTAATGTCAGTCATGCTACAACACATGTTAGAGATATTTCAAGTTCTTCTTACCTGCTGACTCACGATTTGGTGGTTCAAGAAACATGAACGGTGGTGGTATTTCACGTAAGTGAATAATGTACAGATTTTCCATGCTGCTTAAATGACTAATGACCTGGAAATGTGTGCATGGAAGAAGTAATATTTCTTCTTCCTGTACAAAGTAGGAATGACGTTTGATATCTTTTCCATTTAGACAGTCGATTGCGAATAAAGTGCGCGGGCCTGATGTGCCCAAATATTGATCGCTTTCCAGCACATTGATCGTAGTCGTACAAGAACTGAATGCCCACCATGTTACATTATCACCTTGTTGGTAATGTGAGCGTAAATCACCGCGTACACCTCTCCAGACAGTGCAACGGGTTGATGGTAATTTGAAGAGAGCGGTAAAAACCAGTTTCAAATAAGGAAACCAAGGAATCAGTTTCCTTCGATCTTCTAAACGAAGCGTTCGATTCAGTACTGAATAAAGACTAGGATGGCTAGGGTCCCACTCCATTGTATACAAAACAATAGCGGCTGATTCATCTTGAGTGAGTTTGTCGGCTGGACTTTTGCATCTACTTGTAGCTGTCCAAACGCGTGCATCAACATCATCGAGCAGCTTACGTAATTTCACAATAGCGTCTTTTAATGATAAAAGAGGTTCCTCTGCATAACCACGCAGAGGAGCAAGTGCATTCAGATGTTCTTCACCAACATCGAGAAGGCGAGGATTGATATGAGTCATAGCGATCGAACTTGAAGCCGTTGTAATCGTGAAATCGATCTGTTACTGTTTTGCGAAGGTGTATCTGAAAAGTGGTAATAAAGTGAGACTTATGGTTTCGTATTTATCTCAAATAAGACAAAAATAAATGTAAAGAATCGACCACGGTACAATTCAGAGACAATCATTAGAACAACATTCTCGTCTTCAACCCAAACTTTCAATATCACGTCTCGATTTTTTCATGTTAAACATCATGATACTTCAGGTAGGTCATGATATTTCAGTCAAGCGTACTTGCTAGAGACTTTTATATTGAAAAGAGAGTATAATGTGAGAGCGATGCCTTCGTGTTGCCTACTACAGAAAAATAATCGCATTTTTAGTACCCAGACCGAGAAATCCGATCATTTGGCCGGGAAAGAATCCTATCAGATCGGACAAGTTCCGATGAAAGTGTTCGGCAAGGTCTTATTGAGTTCTTTAACGAAATATAACATATCCGACAGGATCTTGTCGGATTTTAATCGCTAGCCTTCGGTACTTGTTCTCTTTCCGATTCCCTATCATTTATTAAGTATACAATAAATATTAAGATTTCTTACACCAATGGTAAAAAGTTCATTGCCTGCTCTTATTATGTCTTTATCTAGAACCAAACGCGAGATAAACCCAGATATCGTTATTAAACGCAGTGTAAATACATTAATAATACATAAACAATACTTTTACATATATACCCTTACACCTATCCCCTTATATATGTCAACGTCCAATGTTGAATCCGAACAGCAGCTTTCGTTAAAACTCCTATTAGTCCCTATATAGATGTTGAATTCCAAATCTTGTTGGTGAACTGTGTTGAAACAATGGCAATTCTGATAATCCAATCGTCGATGCATAAATTAAAATAGGAATCGTAAAGTTATGAATAAATTTGTACCAAAGAACAGCTTTTATGGAAAATTATCCATAAATGTTTCAGTCTGAACTAAGTTTCTTCAATGATGATTGCCATACCTGAAATGTCATTGCTTCAACACAGTTCATCAACAAGAAATCCAATTCAACGTCTCGTCTATCTAGATAATAATGAGGGTTCTAACGAAAAGTTCTTTCCCGATCCTGGATTGGACTAGTCCGAAGTGAGAGTCCTAGATTGGCCTAGGCGAATCTGATATTGGACTAAAGTCGAGATCGGACGCTGACATATATACCCGTACACATATGCCCTTAAGCCTATATCCTTATGCCTTTACCTTAATACTTATATCTTTACGACTATACCTATATCCTCCCAGGTCGAAAGTAAGCCATCGGATTCTGTCGGATCTGTCGCAATTCGATGAATTCCGACGACTACATCTGATAGAATTCTGGTTGTCGAAATCCAATCGGATCTCATTTGATACCGATAATTTTCGCCGCATTCTGATTACCGAATTCCGATGAAATCCGAAGGATGGATCCGATAAGATTCTTTTGTCGGAATCTAGTCGGTTCCATTCGTTTCCCACAATTTTATCACTGAATATTTTGATTGAAGGAGCTGTCAAATTTGTTGTAAAATTTTGGAAAGATCATATGTAATTGTGACTAAATTTCAATTTATCCAACTTACACTATAGTCAATTTTATTCCAAGTTATTTCGTCCAAAACTCGCTTACTTTCTTATTCATGAATGAAAACGACAAAACTAAAGAAGCGGCGATGATGACGATCACCGCTTTCACTGCTTTTTTTACCCGTACGAAGTGGACTACCACTCTTACTATCTGAAGCATAGGAGTGTCATATTTTCTTCATGAACATTCAGTTTTTTCAAAGAAAATCGTTATAGCACTCCTATGTTTTTATTTCGTCTTTTCATGTCGATCCCCTTTTCTACTAATGTTTTTTCTTCCGCATCTGTCATTGCCATCATGTTTTGCTTTATGTGCTGTTACTAAATAGCTACTAATTCTTTTTTATTAAAATGCATATACATATGAAGTCTTTCTTTCTGCACATTAATCGTGTTCCTAAAATACATTCATCTACGAGATTAATAACCCACAAGCATAAATTCCAACCGCCAGTATTCATGCATATTAATCATTGTTCTTTTTATTTCTCAACATGATTCTAACCTGCAGAAGCATCTTTTCATATGCATCACAACATCTTTTTCTTCTATTTACGTGATTCTACATCTCAAATCAAACCAAATATAACTTAAAATAAACAAATAATTTGTTCTTTTTCGGCTATTGGTAAACTTCCATGAACATAGGTTTTCATTAATAAAACATACATCATTTTTCATTATTTAGACCATTCCGAAATTATACCGCCCGAAGTATAAGTTTTATTAATATAAATAGTAGTTTTTTGTGGAACTCACATATATTTTCGAAGAAAATAGTGAGTGTAAGTTTTAAGTTCAAGTTTTCGCGGCTCCACCAATGCCCCACACCCCCGCCGTTC